GTGGTCGCCTTTCAAAGCTGCCACGTCCATCTCGCTGTCCCCACCGCGGGAGCAGCTGAGCCCCCCGACCTGGGCGAGGGCTTGGGTTCAGGCCACCACAAGAAGGGGTCGATTCCAACAAGAGAGCCAGGTTCATTTTCTGGGTACCCAGAGCGGGTAGAGGCCTTGCAGGTGCTGGACTGTGGTCCCTGCAGCGTGCCACACCAGGATGAGCCCGCTCAGGGGACCAGGAGAACAGCCCACGTGAACACAGAGACGCGCTGTTGAAACATACTGCCCGCGCCTGCTGGACACAGGGTGGCCACAAACGTTCCATTTGTAAAAGCGCAGTAAAGGGAGGTGTGCCCGGGCAGGCAATGCCCCCAGAGTGCCAGGACCCTTGGTGACTTAGGGAATGGAGAGAAGTCCCCCAGAGCTTCCGGAGGATGGAATAAAGGTGAGAAGGGGAAGGACGAGGACCCTCGGTCATTTATTAGGATGGCCCCCGATGCCCAACGCCCTCACAGCATCAGCACATGGGCCCATCTGCTTGGGAACGCACCCAGATCTGAAAGCAAAACGTTATTGGAGAGAACGATGGAGAAGATACTACAGGGGGACCCCTGGCTCCCAGACAAAACCCTCCTAACCCTGGAATCTCTGTGCAGCTGTGTGTTTTTACTAAGATAGTGTGCTTGGCCCTTGTGTCCCTGCAAACTTTGAGACCTCCACGTGAGCTGGTTTCCTGTGCGGGTTCTGCGTGCACGCCCATTGTGTCCTGTGTGTGTCATACGTGGAAATACAGTGTTTGGTTCCAACACGGGGCTGCCTTATCCAACCAAGCAAACTTCTGATGTTTTTCTGCACACTCCACTGAGAAGCAGGTCTGGAGGCCCATGGAGCCAGTGGAACCCCCTTCAGGTGAGTCCTTTGATTAAAACACGGAAAGCAAAGTGGAGCAGCAGCCCCCCACTTGGGATTCGTGGTGGTCAGGGTCAAAGGGGACAGCTGGCGGACCGACGCAGACTGTGGGGCGTCTCGGCGTCTTGCTGGGCCGCAGCTTTGCTTCGATTCTACAGATGTAAACGCGGCTCCCACAGAGCCGGCCCCACCTCGCCAGGTGTGGATGCCTACCTTTTTCCTTTGGAGGTTGACATCCAGCCTCATGGAGGCGCACTTGTTCAAGGTGTTCAGCCGTCTGAAAGAGAAGGAGGAGGGGGTGATGGTGACGGCCGCTGGGACCACCAGCTTCCTCCCAAGCGGCCAGACGGGTGAACACTTCCCAGCACAGTGATGACTCGGTCACCTTTCATTTTTCAGCCTCAGGGGCTCCTCAAGCTGCTTCCCAGCAAACCTTTCTGCTCACTGTGGTTCGCTCCCAACCTCAGACCCTCATGAAGGTTCCAGTCCCCCAAACCTTTGACCGATCCGCGGAAGGCCAGCTAATGCCTCACGACAAATACTTTTTTCCACAACATGAGCAGCGACTCTACACGTGGACCTTGGCAGATGGACCGCACAGAAATCAAGCGGACTACAGCCGTGGGAAGAGAGGCCGCAGAAGCTCGGCACCAGCAGCCAAAAGGAGGCCAGGGGCTGATTGTGAGCCAGACCGTCCATTGCTCATAAGCAAGTTCAGGCTGGGGCTGAAGAACATTGCAACAAGCCCATGGGAGCCAAACTACGACATTGAGTGTACCCGTCTTGAACTTCTGGAGCATCCCAAGAACAGAGGTGACGCCCTGAACCCCGATGAACTCGGACCAGTTGGGTTGTGGGAGGGCATCAGGCCCTTCACACACGAGGAAAGCAGAAGGTCATCAGAAAGACCACAGCGGACGTCAGAAGTGATTCTGAAACTTGCTGTTTTTATCACAGAGCAGCCACTCGTGCCACACAGAGGAATGATGACACCAAAGAGCTGAGGAGACTTTTCGAAGGGCAGCTTGCGAAGACAGTGCAGAGTGTTACAGCAGAGTATGTGCCAAGACCAGCGCTGGAGAGCCACAGAGAAAAACGCCCCGCGCAGCTCAGGCTGAAATAACTAAGGGAAAGACCCAAGCCTTGAGCTGAAAGGTTAAAGAATTCCACGGGCAAACTAGGAGCCGTGATGGGCTAGTGGTTATGTGTTGGGCTGCGAGGTCAGCAGTTTGAAACCAGCAGCAGCTCTAGGGGAGAAAGACGGGGCTTTCTACTCCCATCCAGAGTTAGTCTCAGAAACGGTCAGGTCCAGTTCCACCCCGTCCTGTGGGGTTGCCAGGAGGCAGCGCTGACTCGATGGCAGTGAGTCTGTTGTTTGTTTGCTTGAACAGGTAGAACAGGGAATGATGCAGAAAGCACCAGAGAACATTCTTAGAAGGGGGGTGGCGGTGGCAGGGGCCGCAGGAGCAGCGGCGTGCTGTCAGTCGGAGAAATGGGAGACCTGGTGTCAGAGGTCATGGAATCTGCCCGAGGCACAGGAGTGAAGAAGGGAGCAACATGGAGATGACGTTCAGCTTGTTCGCGAGGGGCCGTCACGGCCCGTTCCTGAATGCGTGACTCGGTCTGCGATGGCGACAGGAGCCTAGCACTGATCACGGTGCCGTGCCGTGCCGTGCGGTCAGTGCGGACTCGTTGCAGCCCTGTGAACAGTGGACGGACCACTGCCCGGACCTGCGGCATCTTCCAGCGCTCACGTCTGAGTTGTCTCCAGTATCACATCAGAACACGTCACTCATCAAACCCGTGTCAGCACGTTGATTAGGTGCACTCGTTACCCTCTGAATGTGCATGGCAGTGTCTGAATCTGCCGAGACGGGAGAAGCGCCGCCGTGCTACTCAGTGAACTCTAATTAGTAATCACAAGGCTGCGTTTGATGATAATTGAATTAGGATTCTGGTCAGACGGGAGGATGAACACGTCTTTCATCTCAGAACGAAGGCATACAGGAGACAGTCAGGTGGAGGCAGAGAGCAGCCGACAGAGAGAAATGAAGGGAGGTTGCAGGTGCACAAGGCATGGCGATCACACGGCGCTCTGGCACAGCAAAACACGCTCTTAGAAAAACTATAAGGTGGTAAATACCACAGCAGTTTCCGCAAATGCATCATGAATTAGAGCCTTGCATGGAAATAAAAAGCAGATAGAGAAGGAGCCCTGGTGGCACTGTGTGATCAGCACTGGATGTCTAACTGCAAGATCGTTAGTTCAAACCCACCGCCTTCTCCTTGGAAGAAAGATGAGGCTGTTGGCTCCCTTAAAGATATACAGTGAACCCTTGTTTATTGCGGTTAATCGGTTCTAGACCCTACCGTGATAAATGAAATTCCGCGAAGTAGGATTCCTTATTTGTAAATCAAATATTTTCGCAGTTAGAGCATAGAGGACATGAAAAAACACCCTTTAGTCACCATTACACTCGTATTACCCAATTTATTAAACGAAAAAGGGAAAATACAGTAAAACATTTTGGACGTTACAATTATCATTTATTATTTATTATATTCTTTATGGCATCAAGCGTATACAGTATGAGCCAATCAGTGGCAGTAATGACAGAGCATGCGCTGTTACGCAAAAACCGCGATAGAGTGAAGCCGTGGAAGTCGAAGCGCGAAGTGGCGAGGGTTCACTGTATAGTCTTGCAAGCCTTGGGCAGCAGTGAGTTAGAATTGACTCAGTGGTAATGAGACTAAGGTGTGATAAATCTTTTCAGTTATAGAAATTGTTTTTTTAAATCAAGAACCAAAGTCTTAAAAAGATGTTTTACCAAGAAGTGTGCGGTCTTAGGCCATTTACCAATTGCTTTGAGTACCAAATATCCAACTATTGATTGATTAAAAGTCTAAAAAGTTGCACATGCTTTCTTTAGCTTTATGTGAACTTTGTGGAACGAAGCACTGACACCTAATACTCGGACTACACTTTAATCTCAAAACCTAAAGCTCTATTTATTTATTTAATTAAAAAATTAATTTTATTGAGGGCTCGTACATTTCTTATCACAGTCCATACATACATCCATTGAGTCAAGCACCTATGTACACCTGTTGCCCTCAGCAATCTCAAAACATTTGCTCTCTACTTTGGCCCTCAATATCGTTTGCTAAAACCTAAAGCTTTAGAAAGAAATATTACATTCCCTAAAAATAGTACATGTGACGGAGATGATGTTTTATTCTCCCACAAATAAGATTTTGAGCTCGATGTCCAAACCAGTTCACAAGGAAGAGCAGTTAGGCTAGGTTAGTTATTTTAAAGATCATTTTATTGGGGGCTCTTACAATTCTTACCACAATCCATGCATCCATCCATTGTGTGAAGCACATATGTACATTTGTTGCCATCATCATTCTCAAAACATTTGACTTCTACTTGAGCTTAATAGCGGCTCCTCATTTTTCTGCTAGGTTAGTTTTTAGTGAAAATCTCGTTTTACCGAAACTTTAAAGCCTAATATTTCTCCTTAGTTCTTCATTCTACCGCGTGACTGCTTGAAACTATTTTGCTGTTTCTTGAATTGGTCTCTACAAACAATCGCAGGGGTACAGTTAAATCATGGGAGCAGGATACGCGTGTGGACACTGTGGGTCAGCACCAGCCTAGAGGATCCCCGGAAAGCCAGGAGACAATGGATGTAGGGGTTGTGTACACTCTGCCCGTTGGTTGAATGATGGGAGAATGTTACCCCAACTTATGTACCGTAGAGATTTTCTTGAAGCAGCAGGTGTGAATAAGATAGTCAACAAA